GCCCAAGAAGTGGTACTGCGGTCGGGCTAGGTGAGCCGGCATCGGTGCTTCCAAGGGAGAGCAGAGCGCTGGAGATGCAGTGCCGCAGAATTTCGCATACGCCGGGGTCGTTTGTCTGTGCCAAGATCGGTTGGTGAGAGGCGGGCAAGGTTGGTGGTGAAGAGAGAAAAGCGACGAGGTACTGCCTACAATGAAGATCCTCCCCAGTGGGAATGGAAATAATTACGGCCTCTGCGGATTAGAACCTTCCTTGCCCAACTAACCGTGTTACCCTGCAGAGGGGCAACATTTGTGGGTTTGTCCTTTTCATCATCGCCCAAGTTAGCCCGTACCCAGTGAGTTTCTACAGCCCAAGACCCAAAGCAGCATGCAAGAACAAGATCACATTCAGTTGCCGTAATTTTAAATCTTGGTCCCCCTACTAGAACCACAAAGCGTTTTATTTTGATTCTTCTTCTTTCTTTCTTCGGTTTTCTAAATGAATACAATTGTCTTGATCACCAAACCCTGCCATGTTCCGATTAGATCTTCCCCTCTGTTGACCGCATGATAGGCACACGGCCAACTTAGAACTTTTCTTGAAGGGGGGAAACTAATTACTGCGATTATCAATATCTAGAAGCTGAAGTTTTTAGGGGGGGGGAAAGGCAGAGTTGCTGGACTTGGTGTCTCCTAAGCTTTCGTGGGAGTCTAGGCCACTTTCCTGGTGTTTAAGCATCAAAGCATAGCTTGGCCCAAGGGCGCAAGACCTTAGCCTGTCGCTTGGAAAACTCTATCAGCTGGTTTCCCCGGAAATGAAGGGCCAGACGTGAAGATAACGATGCAGCTCGCTGAATTAGACTTCCAAAGAATGATGAATACACCAACGAAGGGATATAAAACGACGTATTTTTGGGCATAATACCTGACCAGCAGTCCGAAGGAGACTGTGTGTCAAATGCGGACGATGAATCACAGCAACCGTTATAGTCAGGCTCGTCGTCAAGCCTGTGAGCGAGATCAAAGGGCCTATACCGGCCCGATGTTGAATGCATCTGAATAGATTAGGCCGCTTCGTTAGTTATGTGACACGATCTTCGTCTTCTTTAAACCTGAACTAGACCTCCCTCTGACCTAAAAACCAGATCTGTGACCTGCTGTACCTATGTTGCAGCTGCTGCGATGGGCTGTAGCCATGGCTGTGGCCGTCAGGTATGTAGCTCGTGGCTGTAGCTCATATGAAGTTGTAGCAGCTATAGCTAGCTGTAGCCGCTATCTTAGTGTGTACCAGGTCTTTGAACGGGACCTGTTTGCTGAAACAGAATGTCTGTACAAAACGATGATTATTACGGTAAGGTAGGGCTACTTCTTGGGAAAATAAAAAAGGGTCTTGGCCGGGGTCCCTGTCTCTATTTTAAGATACCTAGATAGCTCTAAAGCGAGGTTTGAAGCCAGAGGAAGGACGTCTTGCGCTTCGTTATCAAGCAGTCATTGACCCCTCGTAGCTACCAAGCAACGATTAGCGGGCAAATGCTCGGAGAATCACTGGATAAAGAACGGGAGCACAAGATCCGCTGCCTGCCCTGGCGTATGCAGCTTGAAGCCCGATCTTACCCCACATCTGAGTCACCGCGTGCACCATCCTGAAGCTGCCCGCACATGAGGATTCCATCATTACCATCCCCCGCAACCTGAATGGTAATCCGAGCGAGCGCGTTTAGAGGTGTGTACCCTCCTACGCTCGTCTCCCGCCTGTTGCCCCCCCTTCTACGACGCTCACTATCAACAATTACGGCGCGTCAATTCAAAATGGGCCAACCATCCGAAAGTTCGCAGCCGGTCCTGCGAATACTCAACAGCCTCGGTGGACAGAAGACCGTCTTCACCCCGATCGACCCGGAAAAGAAGCGCATTACCTGGTACACATGTGGCCCGACTTGTTACGACGACGCCCACCAGGGCCACGGGAGAAATGCCGTTTCACTTGACATTCTTCGTCGGATCCTGAAAGACTACTTCGGCTATTCGGTGAAGTTTGTGATGAATATCACGGATGTGGATGACAAGATCATTCTAAAGAGCCGGTATCTACATCTCGGGGAAAATCTTCTACAAGAGCTCAAAAGTCAAGAAGGGAGCAAGGCCAAGGCTGATGCCCTCACTGTTGGCAAGGAAGGCCTAAGATTCTACATTTCACGGAACCTACCCCTCTTGTCGCCTGACACTTCATCAGAGAACTACGATGTGGAAATCCAGAAGGCATACAGCAACATAATCGACAAGGAGGCGACAGAAGAACAGGACGCCAAGATCAAGATGCACATCCGCAATGGCCAACAAGCCGCGGGTGCCTTGCTTCGCCTGGAAAAGGCAACAGACTCCGCGCCGCTGTCCGAGTTTTTTGACAATGCGAAAGATGTCCTACACCCCTATCTGGACCACCTCCACGGCGCTACAATCGACAGCAAAGACCATGATCTTTTCAGCGCGGTTGCCCGCAAGTATGAGGAGCGCTATTTTGAGGATATGCATGCATTGAACGTCCTTGATCCAGACGTCCTCACGCGCGCCACAGAGTACATTCCCCAGATGATAGCCTTCGTTCAGCGCATTGTTGACAAGGGCTTTGCCTATCCAACTGACGATGGATCCGTCTACTTTGATATCTCGGCCTTCGAAGCTGCTGGCCACAGCTATTCTGTATTAGAGCCGTGGAATCGCAACAACGCGGCGCTCCGGGCAGACGGCGAGGGCTCATTGGCGAACAAGTCGGTGGCCAAGCGCAACGATTCCGACTTTGCCCTATGGAAAGCAAGTCGACCTGGAGAACCTGCCTGGCCGAGTCCGTGGAACGAAAATGGTGGAAGACCTGGCTGGCACATCGAGTGTAGCTGTATGGCGTCTGACGTGCTGGGCGGTGCTATAGATCTTCACTCTGGCGGAGAAGATTTACGCTGGCCACACCATGATAATGAAGTGAGTTTCGCGGCCTTCTTTTAAGAGACAATACTAACTATGAGAATAGATCGCTCAATCGGTCGCATACTGGTCTGACGATGGCAAATCGGCGCCCTGGGTTAACTATTGGCTTCACACCGGCCATCTCGGCATGAAAGGCTTAAAGATGAGCAAAAGCCTGAAGAATTTTATCACAATACGCGATGCACTCAAACAACCGGGATGGAACTCCCGTTCGCTGCGAATCTGCTTCCTTCTCGGAGCCTGGCACAACAAGATTGAGATTACCGAGACCACTCTCAGTTCGGCGGCAGCATGGGAATCCAAATTAAATAACTTTTTTCTGCAAGCCCTTGACGTTGGGAGATCATTGGATGACCTGCCAAAGACACTGGACAGCATTCGTGATGAAGAATTGAAGTTTGAAGCTCTTGACAAAGCAAAAGCTGGCCTGAACGAGGCGCTTTGCGATTCTTTCGACACCCCAACAGCCATGAGGATCATCTCGGATTTTATAAGCGAATGCAACGTCATGAACCTCTCAAGCTCGTCATTGCTCTCTGGTGCCAGATGGGTTAACCGCATTGCCACCATCTTCGGCCTCAACCCGCAAGGTGAGGCAGCTGTGCTAGCACAGGGTGACTCCGATGGGACCCGCGAACAACAACAGCCTGTGCTGAGCTACCACTCTCAGATCATCGCCTGGCACGGAGTTGAGATCCCAGCCGCTGCCCAGCAGCCCATCTATACTGCTTCCAAGCTCCGAGACGACGTAAGACAGCAGGTCCTCTCCGACCCAGGCAACATTGATTACGCCAAATTGGGAGAGCTAGTAAATGGTGCCTCTCTTGGCACTCAATCGAGCACTGCTGCAGCAAGTTCCGATACCCGGTATCATGCAGTGGCGACGCAATTCCGCGATGACATCCAACATCTGACTTCAGAGAGCGCGCCTGCGAAGGACATCCTTGGCCTCTGCGATGCCTTCCGCGACGTCCACCTCTACTCTCTTGATATCTATCTCGAAGACCGCCAAAGTGGTCCTGCGCTCGTCCGACCGTTGGATCAGTCGATCCGAAAAGCACTGGAGGAGAAGCGCGCCGCTGCCGAAGCGGCTCAATCAGAGAAGGCAGCTCGCAAAGCTGAAGAGGCAGAAAAGCGACGAGAGAAGGACAGCAAGGCGAGCATTAATCCGCGTGATATGTTCAGGAATGAAAATTACTCGGAGTGGGATGAGCAGGGTATTCCGACCCGAGACGCAAAAGGGGAGGAGGTAACTAAAAGTGCGAAGAAAAAGTTGATCAAACTTCAGGAGAGACAGCAAAAGCTATATAAAGAATGGTTTGACAGGCAGGACAGCAAGTGATAGTAGTTAGAAAATAAGAGTGACCAACTAAGCGTCAGACTACTAGACAATACTGCTTCGGGCCGTATCACCTCGAGTTTATTAAGCAACTATCCCTTCGTGACTCTCGCCCCAGTTACATCACCATTGAAGCAAGCCCACTTGTATAGCATTTGATATATCACTTTCAGTGGGTTTATCTCATCCTCCCCTCACAACAATATGTCGGGAGATGATCAATTCTTATTTGGAATAGGCCCAGTGGCTTAGGTTTGGCAAACGACTAACTTACATCCCTCTCTGGCTGCTGGTGGTGCAGGTCCCGATTCCCGCTCATGGCAAGAGTTATGCCGCCACGCACAGTTGACAGAAGTTAGGGGGGTGAGGCAATGCTATGAGTGGACGGTTGTCGAGCCTGCGAATGAAGAGGGCGGCTAGAGTCATGCAAAACCCGAGTATCACTGACATGAAACCTTGGCAAGAGATGAACAAAATTAACGAGAAGGAATGTCAAATGATGTGGTGAAATAACCCAACGATAACTCAAACGAAGACCCTTCGAGAGATTCCAGGATAAAGTGCCTTCTCAAACTAAACTCCATGTCCAGCGTGGTTCGTCTCCCCCATCTCAATTTGCTCATGTCACGTCAAATCATTTCAAATAGTACAGCCCTCGATTCAAGATCACTTCAACGGGCAATGCTAAGCATCCTTTCCCTCAGTGGGTGCTCACAGGGTTGGGGTAGTGCCAGGCCGACACAGCAATAGCGACGTAAAGCGTCACGCAAAGGAATCCTTCGAGGTAGTCGCTCTTCTGGTCCTGCAAAAACCTTCCCACAGTGAGGATGGCGAGAATCAGCATGGCCAAGTTGAAGATTTCGAACTGCAAGTCCATGGATCTGTTCAAGCCCCAGCCTATAATGACAATCAAGGGCCCGTTGAAGAGCGTGGTCTGAATTGTAGCGCCGAGGACGTGAGACAGGGCAAAGTTCATCTGGTTATCCCACGCTTCGTCTATGGCAGTCAGATGCTCGGCAAACTTTTCCACGAGAGGAACCAATATTAGGCCCATGAAAGGGTCAGAGACGCTCGATTCTGTGATGACATGGTGGATTTCGAGAACGAGATTGATGGAAATCACAGTGACGAGTGCAAGGGATATGGCTAGAGAAATGATGCACTCGGTGAGAGTGAGCTTATCCTTGGTCATGTCTTTGGCTTTGTCGGCGTCGCGGTGCTCGTCGTATTCGAAAATGGCATCATAAATACCGTGGTGCGTGCGAACTTGGAAATACACGAAGACAGCGTAGGCGATAATCAGCAAGACGGCGATAATCCGAGAGATATTCAAGGTGTCAGCGTTCAGGTGCTCTTCGTCAAGACCGTATTCGCTCAAGCCGAGTCTGAACAGAGTTGGGACAGACAACACAGCGCCACTATGGATCAAGACCATTTATATCAGTAAAGGGAAGCAAAAGACCCTGTTCAGAGTTCTGAGTACTACGTACGCAGTAAGGAGCAAGCCGCTGCCTGTTTCGCTGATGGCATCACTGAAGGTTTGTTCGACTCGCTTGAGACCTCCAACAAAGAAGCAGAAACCGAGGCACAGGAGCATGGTTGCCAAGATGGAACCCAGAATGGCAGCTTTGATGACGTAGAACTGATCTCTGACAAGGAGCACGACGAAAAGGATAATCTCGACAATCGAACCAAAACTTGGGATTTCCAGTTAGCCTTGTGCGGATGGTTTGAGGGTTAAGATAGGCGAGGAAGCGGAGAGGAACATACGTGATTTCGGTAAGCACGCCAAACACATGGGGCATCTTTTGCGCAAGCTCCTGTCCGGCAAAGCCTACAAGATTTGCGCAGGGGACCATGGCAACGTACAAGAGCGAGAACTTGAGGACGTGGTTCCCCTCCAGGCTATCTGCATTCACATTAGGAAAGGAAATGTTCACATCCAGGGCAACTAGACCTACATTGCACCGCCAGAGCAGCTGGGACGAATGGCCAGAGCAAATTGCATAGTGTGCTGGCTTTGCTCGCAGATCGGAAGCAGATACGGAGAAAATGCCATGGGTGAATACCCCGGCGACCGCTCTCGCCCCTGGGGTTCAGCTTCATCGGACCCTTCTCACTGAGCTGTTTGTTTTGCTTGTATTGATTGAAGGTATTCGGTGCCGGAAGGACAGAAGCAGTCTTTCCATTGCTCTCTGGGCTCCCTTCTGGCCCTCTGTGCTCGGCACTGGGTCGAGGTGAGTACTTGCTCACATACGGCGAATGCGCTGGCCCGGGCATGATGAATAGAATGAATTGACTGCTCAGGAGCGCAGGCGGCTGAACCTTATGCCAGTGAGTGGATGGTGTGTGTGTGAAATGAGTGAATGTGAGAGGTGTAAAATAAAAGTGAGAAGTGCTTGAGAGACGGACGAGATATGAAAGAGGTCACCTCCCTCGTAAGACACAACGCCTGCCCAGAATCAGGAATTATATGTGCAAGAACGACACATTAGGGGGGACACAAAGCTAATAATATTGATGGGCGTCAAGAGCAGCAAATATAGAAGGATCAGTTATTACTTGAACCAGTCGCTCAGCTCCGACCAAACAAGTCGGTTGCACGATGGGGGCCAATCAGGCCCAACACCCTTGATCAGGGATGTGGGCAAGGTCGGGGTGATACGTGGCGGGTGTCGCATCCATCCACTCCCTCCACCCAGCAGCCATTTGATGGCATCTAATTATGTCACAGGCAGGCCTCCGGAAAGTGGGTGGCGGCGATGCAGTCGGCTCATTGAAACCGCCGTGCAACCAAGCACAGCATCAAATGACAGGATGCCCGGTAGGTTTGATGACCCTTATGCGCGGACAAGCTGAAAACTGAAACAGGGCACAGGTCCTGCTGACAGCTGAGGGCCAGCTACACTACCTACTCTACTCTCCTGGCATGTCTGGATGGGCGCATCCAATGTTATTTGATGCATGAAACAAGATTGGAAGGCCTCCAATGTGGGCGGGAGCTGCCGCCGCTACGTAATATCGCGGGCGCTATCTTTGGTGCAATCCCACATTGATGCTTGCTGCAGGGGGCCTTCATATGGGTAAGCCTGCGTGGGGATTCATTGCCAGGGATGGGGATAGATGGGGAAGGGAGGGATGGGCCTCTTTGTGAGTCGCACAGCTCTGCATGGAGACAGGTATATTCGTCCAGGAGATTAATTCCACCGGTTGGATCGACATGAGGTGACCTACCTTAGGTATGTATGTATGTATGTATGTAGGTATCCTTCCCATGTTGCTTGGATTCTGGACAGAAACCCAGCGTCACAGTAAAAACAACCAATGAAGCATGCTCGCTGTCGTGTTACGCAGAACATCGCAGCCGGTGTTGGGAGCCCAAAACAACGCAGTAAGCGTGGACATTACAAAGTCAGATGTATATACCTCTATGTTATATTGATGACCACCGAGGTCAGCAACGACTGCCAGGTAGTGATATCAAGGGGGTGAGATGCACAGCCCTCGTATCTCATCTGATCCGAAGTGCTTCTCACACCTAATCCTCGTCCTCGTCCTTCACAGTAACCACTTCAGGCGGAGGGTGCCCTCTGAATGGCACGGGCTCGGCCGTCACAATCGTCTCAATCCCGATCGGCGAATAGTCTTCGGGCCCCATTGGCAGCTCCTCGATATCAATCTTAATACCCAACAAGCTTTTCAGTACCACTTGGCTGCCAGCCTTGCTCATCACCTCGTTTGACTCCTTGCATAACTCGGAGGCCACACACTCTATGCAGCCACGCTGGCACTGACACTCCTCAACCCTCTTCAGTGCGCCCCTCAGTAGATGCTCAATATGATCAAACGCTTTGGTGTTGATCCCCGACCCTCCTGCACCGCCCTTGGCGTCATAGAAGGTCAACCGTGCAGGTCGCTTGCGCTGGCTCTCTTTCTTTGCAAACTCTTTGAGGGCGACTTTGCATTCCGTGCGAACGTCGCCAGGCATGCTGACGACATACGTGGGCAACAAGCTCATCATGGCATGCTCAGCTGCGTGAATGGCCGCTGCAGAATTTAACCGTCGTTCTTGGAGAATGTCTAGTGCCATCTTGGGCACATCCAGCCATACTCCTTTGCTATACCGGATCACGGGTGGATTATCCACTTGGATCGCATCAAGAACGCGTCCATTCCTATCCACCTTGAAAAAGCCGAATACGTTTTGTTGAATCTTGATCGTCCCGTAATATGCGTGGTATGGCGACCCGGATATTCTGCAAATCGCTTCTGTCTCAGTAGGGTCGATGTCTGTAAAGTCCCGCTGCGTAGTTGTCCAGTCCACCTTGACCTTTTCGACCTTGGCCATGTGTTTGTCAGGTATGAAGTCCCGTACGAGATAAGTGTTTCCTTGGTGAAGGAAAATGGCCCCGTCATAGATGGTAAAGGTAGCTCTCGATGCCTCCAGCTCTTCCAAGACTATATTTTTTCCGTTTGTTATGTCGATAATTGCAAAGTGTTCATCTTCTGTATCTCGAATAGCCACGAATTTGGACGGGACGGGACGGAACCGATCGTGGCAGTGATAATATCCAGTCTCATCCTCAACGAGTCTTTCTTTACATATCTGCGGGAGGTCTTCGCCAAAGTACCGTCGGTCTTCCATTGGCCGAAGGGGCATCTCATGTGCCGCGCACTGGATGTGGCCTTCCCGAACCAACATATTCTCCAAATCAACTTGCAGAGCGCAATTTGGCTTTGTGAACAGCTCGTCTGGGTTTTGCATGTAATGCTGGTCCGTAGGAAAGCTGTCACCCACCAGAATTGATACCGAGTCTTTGTTACGTCGCCCAGCCCGGCCGCTCTGCTGTCGTAGATTTGCAATTGTATATGGGAATCCCCAGGTCATGACACAATCTAGAGAGCCGATGTCAATCCCAAGCTCCAGAGCAGTGGTTGACACAATCCCAAGCAGCTTCCCTTCGAACATTTCGCTCTCAATTCTTCGTCGGTCTGCAGCTGTGTAGCCACCTCGATATCCCATGACAAGATTGACACACTCTGGCCGGCCCATGAGCTGTAACTCGTGTTTAATGGCATTGACCAACTTCTCACAGTGATGTCGCACCTTACAAAAAGCGATTATTCGAACTCCTCGCAGCATGAGGGCACAGAAAAGGCGAGCACACTCGAACTTGGCGCTACCCCGGCCACTCGCTGGGTCTCCGGGATCCCTGTATGGGGTGTTCCAGCATACGAACTCTTTCCGCCCGGAAGGTGACCCATCAAAGTCAATCAGGCGTACGTCCTGGATACCAAATATCGTGCTGAAGTGTTCCTTTGGGTTTGCTACAGTTGCAGAGCAGCTCACGAATTTGATCTTCCGGTTCCCCAACGCTGTGCATATTCGTTGGAGTCTTCGCATAATAAACGCAACATGTGATCCCATCTGCCCATTATAATAGTGCAGCTCATCAACTAGAGTTCGTTGAATCAGCAGGTGACAGGGCCAAAGAGACGGAATACGGTCGAGAACCTCACTTACCCACGACGAATTTCAGATTCTGCAAAAATATCCTCCACTTCTCTTCCTGTGGCAGAATGGTAATATGAAGCATGTCTGGGTTGGTAAAGATAATTCTGGCCTCTTCTCGAATAGTCCTGCGCTCAGACATCGCCGTGTCCCCGTCAAAAGTTTCAACGAGTGTTTCTTCGAGGCCCGGCATATATGACATAACTTCCTTCAGACTTCGCTTCTGATCCTGAGCCAAAGCCTTGGTGGGGAAAATGTACATTGCACGCGCATGAGGGTCTCTCTCCAGAGCATGAATAATGGGCAACTGGTAAATCAGAGACTTTCCGGAACTTGTGGACGTTGACACCACGACATTGTGGCCATCAGAAAGGCTATTGAGCGCCTCAGCTTGGTGAGCATAGAACCTGGTTATCCCCTTCGTATTGTAAAGTGCATTCACTAAATCCTGGCTGAGGAGAAAGTTGAGATCTCCGTACACAGGCTCTTGTTTCTCGAAAACGCGATGTCCATCGGGGACAATTTGGCCCGTATACCACGAGCTCTGTTTGAGCTCTTCTAATATTTCCGGTATACGTTTTCTTTCCTTAGGGATATGATCTGGGATGTCAGAAGCAACCAGAATTGCTTGATCATCATCAGCTGATGATGATGATGATGATGCAACGGGAATATACTGCTTAGTACGCTCTGCCAACACAATATCTGGGTCAAGCATATCCTCCTCGCACTTGTTAAGAAAATTGCTTATCGCATTGGAAAATTTTTGGTTCCGTCGCTCAACAAGCTGCAACATCTGTTTCTGACTAAACACGGGCATCTTGAGCTCTTCGTCTCGTAATCTGCGGGTTGCTTTAGTTGGCTCCCCTGTCTTCGGGTTCATGACCTGGCGCTTCAAGTCGCCATCAATAAACTCGAAGAAGAGAACTTCTTTCCCATTCGGCGCCGTCTGCCGTTCGTGATATGTATCAAGGCTCTCCTTGCCCGACCAACCCCCTACAGAGGAGTCGTGTGCGGGGACCTGAGTGCGGCTTGACTTTGAAGACTTGAAAGTATCATCTCTCTCCGACCCTTTCACATCTAGTTCAAGCGTAAGTTCGTCCACATAGGTAAATTTGATTCCTTCTGGCCGTAAGGCAACAATCGACGCCACCTCTTCGATTTTCAGTGGTCGTTTAATATGGCTCTCCACCGCAGTTCTAATCGTTTCAAAAGTGGTGGCCAAGTGCTTCCGTGTGCAACAGAACGTGAAGACCAGATTTAGAGCACGATGAGTCTCATTAAGGACAGCGAATGACGAGGGCCATTCGATCCTACATTCAACAACTTCAGTCGTTGTCTGTTTCAGGCTTGGTCGAGGTCTGGACTTGGCTCGCTTACTACCGGCAGACGACGAAGACTGGTCTTCCGAATCTAGACCTGGGCTTTTCCTAGTTTTCCTAACCTTTGATGCCCCTTGGGGAGCTCCATTCTTCTCCGCTTGTTTGCGCTTCCCTGCCTGTGTCCCAGAGGAACCTTCAGGGTGGCCTTCTGAACCAGGCAGCTGTTGCGGCATATTCAGCGAACGAACTCGCGTCCATATACGTTTTTGGGTAATAACTTGTAGAGGAACCGGCAGAGAATGGAAATGTGTCTTTATCGATGACGCGCCTGACTAGGTACCTAATGTAGATGGTAGGTAAGTAGCACGAGCTCTTCACGCATCAAGACTTGAGCTAAGACCAGAGTCACGATACTGACGCCACATCACGTGATCGAACCAAGTCACCATCATATCGATTGAACATCAGTCTGAAGTTGACAATACCATCCCCATTGATTCCATCTTACCTGGTGCTTAGTGCTATCTTGGTGACATTTCAGACAACGCGACACTGGTGTGTGCAATTGTGGGGGTCTGCAGCGCGCCGGAAATGGCCTGCACAGATGGCGACACCATCAAGCGTCTCGCTTAACGGCCAGACGACTTGGATAAGTCAATGTTGTCGTTTGTTCACATGACAGCGCCTCCCCTGATCAATGTTGCCAGCCGAACTCCTGCATTCGGAAGTCTTGATAGACTTCCGCCAGAAATCTTACACATGGCTCTCAATCTTTTGGACTTGCAAACACTCTCCCGCATGACACAGACGTGTTTCTCTGGTTTATCTGTTATCCAGTCCATGACAGCTTACCGAGAATTGCTGGAGAATATACCATCCACAATCGCCGCACTTAGTAAAACGAAGCTCCTGGGCGTTCATACACTAGCTTAGCTTTGGAGGGCTCTAAGGTCAGACCGCTGCAAATGTTATCCATATTACGGCGCATTTCTATTCCTCCCAACCTATAAGATGCTGCTGGGAGTGCTTAAGGCTCAAACCTTCACTGCGAGTACTTTCCTTGCAACAGGCGAGAACTTATTTCTGTCTAAAGAAGAGCCATGTTGAACAACTTCCCGCCGTGCATACTATACCTGGCAACTATAGTTATTCGCATACCGTTAAAGTACCACCTCAACTTGTTAGCGCAGCTGCAGCAAAAGAGCTTGGTATATCAGTGCACGGTCCATCCGAGGGCCTCGAAGACAATTTGTTAAGGAGATTAAAGTCAAAATCATCAAGAACCATTGGGAGGTTTTACCAAAGAGCGTCCATGACCCCTTTGAGGGAGGATTTATTGGCGAGACCAGGCCAGGGAAATGTCCCACCATCAGAGTGTTTCTGCATGGCATCGTCACCATTCCCATACCTCCAAACGTCGGGCAGTATTGAAAATGGGCTATGGTGCAAAGGCTGTCAGTTGATGGCCGAACTTTATCGTGCGAAGAAGTTGGATCCTACTACTCTTGCGAGGATTGTTCCACATGATTGGGAGCCCTCTCGCGTGCTAAATGGAATGGCCAGGAGAGCCAGATCTAAGACAGAATTCGTGGATCATACAAAGGATTGCTATGAGGTACAGCGGCTTAATTCAGATGCTACAAGTGATGGTTGACTGTGCTGTGCGTAGATGTGGCAAGGAGACCGTATAGCTACTAGGTTTCATTACCTAGTCGTTCATCACATCGCATGTCGTAGCCGCTGAACTTACTCGCTATCTATCTTAGCCCCCCACGGCTTTTAAACGTTGGATGTGGAGGGGGCATACGGCGATAATTATTGGTTCCTAGTCGAAGAGGGGAACGCGCTGCTCATAGTTACGGACATCTGCTATTGTCATATCGGGTGCCTTTTTAAGTTGCCAACTGCCTCAACCTCACTCTAGTTCCTTATCAACGACCAGAAATGGACAACATCCAACTGATCCTTTCTACCTACCTAACCTAATGAGCACTCAGCATCAAAGATTACTTACTACTTTCCAGTTTGTGCACTTGATTATGATGCAATTTATAAACTGAGGTCATTAAACGGTAGCCCTTTCCAGTTTGGGAGTCTGCAAGTTCGATCCACAGGTAGGAGTCATGCATATGTAGGTACCGTAGCTATAGATAGTATCGTCAAGTGCCTATTGAAGTGATGGATCTAAGACTACCTAGGCACTCTAATGCCAGACAGGGAAGTAATCGCAATAATATGTGTGAAGTTGAAGCAACTTGTCCAAGACATAGGTAGGGTTATTTCTTGATAATGAGGGCATCCAACTAGTGGAGCCAACCATATCGTAGCCTGAGATAAAAATACATTATCTTCTCTTGATATTTTTGCCCATATACTTAACTAGATAGGTGACGTCCTGCCTTGATCATGGTAGGTGCTTACTGGCAGCAAAGCAAGAATACTACCTTACCTGCCTACCTTCAGTAGATCAAGTGACTTCCTATTACTGGCCTCGTATGGCAGCCGGTATGGCAGTAACACATACCACTTACCTCCTGGTGGTAATGGGAAGATTAGCGGCGCCTTCCCAGGCGATAAAAATCTAATACATGGGGGCGGAAGTGGGTTTTCATAACAGACAGCCAATATTCTCCTCCTCCTCCTCTTCCTCGTCCGTTTTGTCCGTTATCATCATCTTCCTTGCATCTTCTCAAACATTACTCTTTGCTCTTCGATTATCTCCACCCAAAATCTCAATATCCCCTTCTCTTCCGGCCTTCTCTTCTTCCGACCTCAAACTTCACTAACATCACATATTGTCTCTTTTCCCAGAGTAGCAACTTCATTGATAGTCATATTTTTTTCTATGGCAGATGTTCCCGTCTTTGAATAATCTCATGGTAGAGTTTCCTTGGCTTACGATGATGTAAAGCAAAGATCATTCTAAAGGTGCGTCTCCTCTATGAGGGGATGTCCAGGGTGCATGCTTTAGAGGCATGCACCCGTTCACCCTCCGGGATTAGAAAATCTGAAAAGATCAGTTGGAGGGAGGCGTATAAGTCGTGAGCAGTTATCGGTACCAATTTTACGAGTATGGATCAGGGGACGAAGAGCTCAAATAGTGACAAGAAATATAGTTAACTTGGAGATTCATTTTTGCAATGGAAATTCAGTGCATAGTCTAGTTCAATTAGAGGAATGTTTATTTATGACGATACTGGCTCTGACGCAACATGATTTTCCCCATTTTGTGGTGTTACAATGTATACCTAGGGTATATAGCCCTCACTATTGCTTCAACTACCACATACGACCATACCCAGAGGAGAACTCGGGATCCCGTCCGCTCTCCCATAGATAAGCCTCTGAGGGGTGGATTAGTAGTTGGGTCGGTGATGACTAGCGAATACCCGCTGTTGTATGTCTCAATTTTTTGTTGTTTTGTAGCTTGGTCTTGCTCCTATGACGAAGCTTGTCGCTAACTTGCCCCCTTGGTGTGCGTATATCTCGTCCCTAAATGTCTTTTGTACCTTTCGCCCATATTAGAAGTTGCTGGCATATTTCTTCTCCTAAAGAGATGTTGTATTCTATCTAGATTCATCGATCATATTCATCATCTGGAAGTAGTTATGGTTAGGATGTCACCTGAGGGCCTTTAAACTCCATATGTTTTCTTTTGCAATCCGAAGTAGGTTCGTGTTAGTTCGCTCTCTTTATAATGATTTCCGCTGCTCTCTTCAGTCCGTGCTAGAAAAGAGCATTCCATTCATGTCATACCACCTAACCGTTATTTTGAAGGCGCTGGGCCATGCTAAGAGCCAACTGCATTCACGGTGTTATGTCTTACTGAAATTGCGTAATAATTGTGCAATTAAAGTTCATTATGAATCGAGAATGAAACGCCAAAGTTACGTTTCATTAACCCTACTTGCTGAAGAGTCTACCGAATTTTCCTTCTGGTAGCTTAAAGGAAATGTGAAGTGTGTGTGTAAACATAAGACTAACATAAAATACGTGATGCCGCATTGAATTCGAAAGCCACTTGAGGTATAGTTCAAGGTAAACTCACTTTTTCATCTGGAGATATAATGCCAAGTTAATCATGACGAGTGTGAGGGGTGTTCCCTTCTCCATCAATACCATGGTTTTTATTGCTTCGTATGACATTTTCTGTATATTTGACTCATGCCACTCTCTTGTTTGCTGATCTCCAACAAACGCTCCTGTCAGCATCCCCATCGCTACTAGCACATGATGGCTGGCCAATGATACAATGGGGTCTGCTTCAAGGGCTCGTCGAAATCGGAGAACCCCGATTTCGCAGGTGAAGAGATCTAAAGATGATGGAAGAGAATGACATGGCAAACTGAAGATGTGATTGCATCAATTTACTTGACTGTGCTAAAAACGGTGACGGTAAGTTTGGTATCAAATCATGGACGTCGCCCTTCAGACTCTTGTGCCATGGAGGTATTCCACAAAAGCGCTCGCCGGAGACCCCATTGTACTCCACGCTGTTAAAAACCTTCGAATACACATTAGCATTCCTGTTATTATAGTCTAAACCCATAATATTTTCCCCCAGAACAGTTTCCAGGTCAAATGATACTCTGAGATCAATGTGGAAGTCTAGGAGGCTAAATAATTCCTCCCTAGTTCCATGAATAAGTGTTATTTATGTATTATAGACTATTTCCAGAGCCATATCAGTATCATGTTTGTCCAAAATCTGATCGAAGTCTTCAACTAGATCCAACTCGACACAGAGCCAAGAGGTATCGAAGTTCTTGTTAACAACGTAGAGGAGAGTACGCCCTTGAAATACATAATTGCTACGGCGAAAAGTGCTGATTTAGTACAATTCGTCTTAGTTGCTTTAGTGATTTGGGCGAAATCGCCTAGAGCATATTTTGAGTATCAGAGAAGATAAGGGAAAACAAAGGAGATCTGAGCATTTTCAACTCCTTTTGTCAGTCTAATAGCGGTTTACTTTGCAAGTGGGCGGAGATCGAAATCCTTTTTTCGCCCAAGCCTTATGTTGCACCCTTTTAAACGTAGAAGCGATCGCAACAGCTTCATAATGCGTCAAGCAGTTGCCAAATCTTGGACGTCGCAGATCAATTGCGAGTGAAGAGTTTCAGAAACCGCTTCGTCAGGTAGCCGCTGGCAGATTGCGATCCATTGCTCAAATAATGCTCTCGGATAGGTTGTCTCCAGATGAAAACTCTGGATCACTCGATGAGACGTGGCTTGAGTAGGTGTCAGGCGAGCAGACAATGCACTCAGTCACAGATAGATCTCCCAGCTATGACCGCGAACACATGGCCAACTAGTTAGACGGACCAAGAGAAGGCGCATCACGCGGACACCACCACTTGGAAGATTCCTAAAGACCTCAAAGTCCTCAGCTTGCCGATGCGTACGGATGATGACTCTATTCTCGCCATAGAGTAACTCTTCGATCTCTTTTTGGGGAGGTTTGCAGACGAGTAGCGGCTGTTTCGGTAGGTCTGGACAGTTGCATCCCGGCTCATCCATTCCCTGAACACGAAAAGCGCCTTTGCTTGCGAAGTTGACATGCACATGTTCCATACTACCTATTTGGCATAAACTATGCCGCATCCAGCTCGAACAAGTCGATAGGTCCAGTTGGAAAGCTAAGAATATAAGTATTGATTTGATATTTTGTATTCTAACCTGATAGGTAGGCGGCTGGTCCGGGTCACGGCCATTATCAACCCTCAGGCACAGAACGTTTTGCTCTACTCTGCTCTCCATTGCCCAAACCCAGAATGGACGGTCCCATTTACCAGCCACAATTCGAAAACTGCTCGCCCCTCAGATTAAAAACACAGAGGATTAAGATCATCCAATAGATGGAACCAGCCGAGGTTCATTTCCGTTATCTTCAAGTCATGTCAGGCGGTCTTGTGCCGAGGAGTATAAGAAAGAAAACGCCCTCGACTCCAGGGCCCTTCGTACAAACACAAACACGTTGCCTTGCCCTATAAGATCATTCTATTGCAATTACCTGAGCGTGCAAAGCGCCATTTGGAGCCCCTAGCTGCTCTGGAGCTCTTTCTGGATAATGCCAAGCTCGTTCATAAAATTCTTCGCATTTGCAGCCGTCATCTAAGTAAGGGATAGTGTTAGCCATCTCAAAATTCCATCATATAACAACAAGGGAAATGAGCAATCATACCTTAACCGTGATGCTAACGGGCTTGGCATCCTCTCCCTCAAATGCTGTAAATATGATGCCGACAGACTTCAACGAGGCCCTTTCCTGGAATTTCATCGTGGGCAATATAGCAGTATTCAGAATCACACGGTGTGTCTGATCTTGACGCAAGATAAGACGCGCTACCTTGTGACCCTTGCCTCCCTTATCCCCTTCGTTCTCGCCCAGTTCGAAGCCTGAAGCATCAAATGACCCGGCAACTGGTACGCCGGCGTCATCAAATTCGACGCAGGCCTCGGGAACGTTGATCTTGAGCATACCGGCTCCCCGCTCCTTCCATCCTACCTCCTTGTCATGGTAAAATACCTTTGCTCTTACAGAAACGATCGTTGCCTCGCCAGATTCGCCATCGTTGACCTCGACTATCAAAATATGATGCTGTCAGTGCTTGGTTCATCTTAATACGTGTTCTAGGGATTAATATTACCTTTCTGAAGCTTGAGTTTCTTCTTTTCGTCCGATTCCTTCTCCGGGGATGCGGCTCGTCCCTCGTCAGGCTGGCTATCGCCCTCCGCCTCCTCGTCTGAACCATCGTCCTCCGCATCACTATCCGGCGCACCAAATGGCTTCGCTGGCTTGCCCTTCGGAAGAGGCTGGCTACCGGGAGCGGCAAAGCTACCCAGCGGCTTATTGCCTGACAAGGCAGAACCAAAAGCGCTACTCGAACTACCGAACGCACTTCCAAAACCATTGGACGTCTTTGCGGCCAAACCACCAAAAGGCGAAGCACTGCTGCTCGCGCCACCAAAAGTCAACTTAGGTGCCTCGGGCGATGAAGCAGCAGGCGCCGGTGCTGGGGAGGCGAAGGAAGATAGTGGCCGACCAGCTGCTGCTCCGAACCCGCTTACTTGAGTATTTCCTAACGCGACAAATGGCGAAGATGTTGAAGATAGTTGTCCAAATCCCGAGGCAGCAAACGCGCTAGCTGATGTTTGTACATCTTTTTTCGTAGGAGAGCTGCCAGATGGTATTTGCTTCGAATCGGCGACGGTTGTGGGTTGATCCTGTAGCAAATAATCAGAAAAGGGTTCAACTGCATACTTGACAACTGAGCTACCACCGCAAAAACAGCTGGAACTCACCGATGGGGCATTGCCAGCCTCGCCTTCACGATGTCTCTTCTTCTCTGGTTCTAACCTCGAGGCTCGGTCCTTAGCTGAGTCTGTCGATGTCGTGCTGGTGGCGTCATTGTCATCTGTGTCCTTGTCCTCGCCCAACTGATCGTGTGAGCGTTTCTTCTTAGGCGAGAGAACTTTTTCCTCGTCGTTCTGTACTATGGATGTATCGGGGGTGGGCGTTGAGGGGTCCTCAGCCTTATCGTCCCCATTTACGGCTGCAGAGGCCTTGGCCGAGTCGGAAATAGATGATTGCTTAAGCTCCCGACGAGCAGCTCTCGTCTCAGCATCTTCGCTGGTCTCCACATGGGTAGGCTCAGTTTTGGGACTGTTGTCCTTGGGTGTTTCGTCCGCCATGGCACCTTTTGGGCGGTAGTGATGGTCGCGAAGTTGGGAATAGCGGGGAGAGGGCGAAGTCTGATCGGTACGAGTGGCAGCTGGGCGAGGTTGGACTGGAGCGGCCCCGAGCTCGCTGATTCTCGAGCTGGAGTTCTCTCACGGCGGGTATCTCCTGGTGCTGGAAAAGGTGCGCATAAGAGTCGAGGTGGCCGAGGAAAATGGCGTCAAGCGGGCGGAAATGTCCGGCTCTGTTGGTGAGGCAGGCAGGTTCAGATAGGCAAGGTAGGCCTGGTATTTGCGCTCACCAAGTGGGTGGTTTGGGGTAGTTGGGCTAGTGTTTCAACACAGCGCTGGGCTTGGGTGACGAAAGAGCTGGGTCGCAGTCTCACGCCGGCTCTCTCACGGACACACCCACGCAAGCGCTTTGCAGTCAATCAGAAGGCGCCGCTCTGTCTTATTGGTTTGCTTCGGCAGTTTCTTCTTAGTTCGTTGGTGGACAGTCGACAGGGAGTGTGGGTTTATGTGCTGTAAAAGAAGGTTCAGCAGGCAAGTCCAGGCTAGTCCTGTCCAATCAACGCCCCAGCAGACATCCAAGACGGATGCAATTAATTCTCCCCTCGTGTACTAATACTTGTGCCAACAGCATATATGGATCTGCCTGCAGGTATTCATTAAGGCTAGTGGCACCAGTAACGGGTGCTGCACGTCCAACCAAGAGATCGAAGACAGATGTGAGATAAAGCAACAAGTAATTGCACATGAAGCTATCCAATCGCCCCGGAACCACCTATCTTCCGTACGAGGGCATAGCGCATGACATCTTACTCACGGCGCCTTTTCGTTACCACTCAGGCTACAAGACGAAGAAATCAAGTTCGATGCTAACCCTTTTACACTCGATACAAAAAAACAATTGGCCATATGCTCCATTTCAACAAACCCAGATGGATAGAGTGAGGGATCGGAAGAAAGAAAGAAAGGTTCTAGTAAGAATACACATTGAATGTCCCTCTGGCTCATACAAAGAGGATGCGTCACCTCGCTCGCTGAATCTGCTCCGATCTTCTAGCTGATGAAGCAGAGGCAGCCGAGTCCCATATAAAAGATAAAGAGAGGGAAAACAGCCAGCATAACACGATTCTTTACCACACCACTACCGCCGAGGATGCTAACGCCCGCGGCCAAAGACCAGAGAACCAAAACAATGTACACCGGTATTCGTGCAATCCAGTAGAGGTGGAGCGCCGACATGAGAGCGGCAAGGACAAGGGGGAATAGGGTGTACCCGATGATGCAGACGCTCTGGGCAAAAGAACTAAAATCCAAGATATCAGCATCAAACATCATGCGCAGAGACGTTCACAGAGCCTGGACTTACATGCTACCGCCCAGCAACCGAATCTGAAGGGTTACGATCGCCTCGCCCAGCCAGACCATAGCAAACACGCCGCTGAAGACCGCATCTCGTTGCTCGGGGCGAGCATTGAAGCTAAGAAGAAGACTCAGAAGGAGACAGAAGATGAGAGGACCCCAAAGGTCCCAATCCCGTAAACCTGGCGTCAAATTGCTCTGTAGCAAATTGTCCGAGTCGATAACCCTGCTGGCCAGTCCAGTGAGCTCCTCCCTCGTACCAGTGATGCCAGCTCCTCTGATGTTGGAGTAGGCACCCCGAATACCACCCTCGGAATCGAACATGGTACCACCAAGCAGGTACTTGGGGTAGAGCACCTCTCGCAACTTGGCCCATATCGCGAGCAAGTCTCGCTTGAGAGTCTCCCATACCGTCTCGTCAATCGTGTTCTGGGGCGCCCTACGATCTTCGCCAGGAATACTCGAGGTCCAGCCTTCATTCGCAGGTCGCGATGAGGAGGAGCCAGATCCAATGTTACCTGTCAGCGGTTGGCTCGCAGATTGTGGTGCCAGGGGATCATCGAATTCGCCAAGGCTAGCTGTCTGCTTGTCAGCTCACAGAATTGACCAGAAACTGATCAGCGCCGGGTGCAGGCACGTACCATCATCGGGGTCGATCAAATCATCGTCATCGTCCAATGGTGGGTTGGCGTAGTGGCCCCTTGATGAAGACATCGTGTTCAGTCGCGCGTCCAGCTCTTCCGGGATTATTAAATCGCGGGCGGTGTTGTTGAACAATGAAGAAGACGAGATATAGATGAGGCGACGGGGATGTCCAGAATGCCGTGGTGCGTTGCGCAGAAGCTGGCGGGTTGCTCTGCCGAGAGGAGAGTTTGGGGTATTGTAGGGGAGAGAGCTGACGTACTGAATTATTACACGGTTGCCTTTCTACAGGTGGTGCTCTCGATGTGCTAAGCAAGGAAGCAAGTACCTGGCCCCAAATGACCAGCGACAGGTACCTGACGCGCTGAGAATCCACTTTCTGGGTTGGAAGGATGGTTGCTACCTATGCCACTATTAATATGCCTTCAGAGGACAGGGACACCAATGTACCTTGGGTGCTAACCTACCTAACTTAATATAGTAAGAGTGAAGTGCCAATTGCCCATGCATTTTGATGTCTAACCTATCTGGGTAAGTCTCACAGTGCTCGAGATCTCGCAGAACAGTGTCTACGAGAGGCTTTGAACCGATAAGGTACCTTAGAGCTAAGTACATGTGAAAGAGTGGGTTGTTGTTGGAAGGCCCTTGCCTCCATCCACCTGCTATGTAGGAAAACATCATCGCTAACAAGGTGCACCTTGCCCTGGCCAAAGCCCATCTTGGTTATTGCCCTTTTCGCATATCTCTACGCGCACAACTCACGCTGTAATGTTTGGAGCCGTGGCAGCAATGGTAGAAAATCTTGGCCAACTGGCCCAAGCTGAATACAAGAGCAATCCCTACCAAGAGATTGGTTTGTGAACCCTCCACCCAATGGGCTGTTG